CATTGGACACAGAGGGGCAGCTGGGGGAGTAGTGGTGACCAAGGGCCATTTGAGGGGGGCACTTGTAGCTGAAGGGGGGCAGTTGTTCCCCCCCTCTCAGACCATGAACCGAAGATGTCACCAAGGCCTCAGCACCGTGGGGGGCACAGGTAGGTGTGGTGTGTGTGCATGTGTCCCCCGACGTTGGGGTCCCCTCCTGGACACCTGAATCCCTTGGAGGGCCATGAGGGGGCTCCTGGACACCGGCACCCCCATGAAGGGGGGTGTCCTGCAGCCCCCTGGATGCCTGGATCATCTTTAGGGTGGAGGCCGGAGCCGGTGGCCGCCCTCGCCAGCGATTCGGAGGACGATGAGCTGCCCTGGCGTGAGTGTGCAGGGACGGGGCGGTGGGGGAACGCGTTGTTATCGTAGGGCCTACAGAAACACGACGAGGTGGTGGTTATGGTAGGACCTACGTAAACACCACCCAAACAGGGAAAGACAGTGGGGGGAGGGAGATAAGCCTGGATGTCTGGGTCTGATAGGACTCTTCGGAGTTACTGTAGGTCCTACAATAATAGTTGTTGCTCTGCTCCCCTAGGCCCTGCCCTCAGAGGTGCTGCCTCACCCCGAGTTGTGCCGGAGAGGTGGGTGAAGCGTGAGAACTTGTTTCCCTTTGGGGGTTCAGGATAATTGGGGTCCTTTTAGGGGGTGAGCCCAGATGTCTGAACCCCCGTCTTTCACCCCTGCAGTGATCTGGAGGAGCCAGATGTGCACCCAGATGTTCAGAGGCCTCGAAAACGCTGCCGTGCCCCTACGTGGGGCCACCTCCCAGATGTGGCCAAACCCTGCCCAGATCCAAACGTCGGAGGACCCAAAAAGCGCCGGTTTGGCCCCCAAGCTGCCCCAGATCCAGATGTGGGGAAAAAAACAGCTACTCCAAGTGTTCAGACCCCAAATCACCCTCCGAACCCTGGAAAGGTGGCGGGTCCAGATGCTGATCCAGATGCAGAACATCTAGAAGGCACCAACACACGTCTCGATGTCAAAAGTGATACAGCTGTGGAGGTGCTCCCCAAATCTGCCTTTTTTCACTCAAGTAGCTGTGACCAGGCCGCCCTGGAGGTCAGCAGTGACACAGATGTGGAGAAAAAGGGCTCGAATCCAGATGTTGGAGGTGCCAAAAATGAATGTCAGATGCTTGTGGTGGACAGCGACACAGATGTAGAAGAAGCTGAGTTTTGCCCCGACGTTGCGAGAACAAAAATACAGCAAATGGCCCAAAATGTGACTAAAACCTCAGGTGTGGAGTTGGAGCCCCGGAATCCAGATGTTGGGGGTCCCAAAAATGGATGTCGGACACTTTTGGGGGACAGTGATACAGATGTGGAGATGGAGAGCTCAAACTCAGCTGTCGAAGGGACACAAAATCAGATGCTCACTGTGGACAGCGATACAGATGTGGAGGAGGATAGAGCCTATCCAGATGTTGGACGCTCCCAAACCCATCAAACAACCCAAAATGTACCAAAAACCCACAATATTGAGATGGAGACTCCCCATGCAGATGTTGGAGGTTCACAAAAGGGACATCGGGTGCTCATAGAGGACAGCGATACAGATGTGGAGGAGAATGAAGCCAATCCAGATGTTGGATACTCTAAAACCCACCAAAGAACCCCAAACACACCCAAATCCCAAATTATTACGACAGAGACACAAAATGCAGATGTTGAAAGTTCGCAAAAGGCTCGTGACACGCTCGTGGTGGACAGTGATACAGATGTGGAGGAGGATGCTTCCAATCCAGATGTGTGTCCAAAAAGCCCTGGAACAGCCCCCAGAGACCCAGATGTTAAGGTCGAGACCATAAATCGCAATGTTGAAGGGCGACAGATTCTCCTGGTGGAGAGTGATACAGATGTGGAAGATGACACTTCCAATCCAGATGTTTGTACTCTAAAAAGCCATCAAGCAACTCAAAATGTACCAAGAAACTCACATCTGGAGACGGACGGCCTGAATCCACGTGTTGTAAGACCACAAAACAACCGTTATACACTTGTGGTGGACAGTGATACAGATGTGGAGGAGAATGAGGTGGATCCAGATGTTGAGCTACCAAAATCCCACAGAACTGCCCAGCGAAGCCCAGATGTAAAGATTAAAACCTCAAATCCAGATGTGAAAGAAGCCCAGAATGAACATCAGAATCTGGAGGTGGACAGTGACACCGATGTGGAAGAAGACAACCTGAGTCAAGACGTTCTTCACCCAAAAAGCCACAAAACACCCCAAAACACCCGGAAGGACCCAACAGTGGTGATGGAGACCCCGAATCCAGATGTTGGGGGCCTCAGCCACAGCTCGGTGGCCTCCAGTGGTGACAGCGATACAGATGTGGAGGACCTCAACCCCCTTCCCGACGCTGGAGCTCCGGAACCACACGCAGCAGCCCGTGAGGTCCCAGATCCAGTTGCCAAGATGGCCACTGCACCAGATGTTGACCCCAAGGGGCAGACAAGGACCAATGACGATCCAGATGTGAAGACCTCATTTCCAAATCCGGATGTTGACACCCTCAAGGCCCAGTGCCCAGTCCCGAATGCAGACAACGATACAATCGCTGGGCGCAACGGTGTTGTTCCAGATGTTGGGGTGGTGCAGGCATGTCAAGGGGACCCAGATGTGATGGCGACGCCCCCAAATCCAGATGTTCCCCTTCCCCTGAGCCCCCGGGATAGCAGCGACGCTGACGTGGAGGAGGTGGCCCCCACTCCAGCTGTTCGGGGCCTCCGGAGCCGAATCCGATTCCAAAATCACCCCCATCCAGATGTTGCATCTCCCACCCCAGGCAACGATACCGATGCGGACCCAAAACGCTGCAAATTGTCCCCAAAAAGGCAGGATTTTCCTCCCGAAGCTGAGCGCGATGCGGATGCGGAAAAGTTGTTCCCAACCCATCCCGTCGTAGCCCTAAATCCAGATGTGGAGCCCTCGCCTCCAGATGTTGGGCCCCAGCGCCGCAGTGGGAAGACCCCGGCCGGGGGCAGGGATCCAGCTGTGCCACCAGATGTTTTCACCCCTAAATCCCCCCGTTTGGACCCAAATCGATGCGTCGGCGCTGGTGGTGGATCCGGGAGCGCCGGGGCCACGGGTGCAGCGGTGACAGAGAGTGACACCGAGGGTAAGTGAGCCCCCCCCCCCC